TTGACATAAATGATAGAGCACTTGGAGATGACTACAATTTTTATTAAGCATGACTTCCTACAAAAAGAGTTCTAGCAGAACTAGCAATTGAGTTTCTAAAACCAGGAATCTCAAGTCATTGAGTGTTGGCTTTCCCTTTTCATTTACTCATTTGACAAATAATAAGATGATTCAACGAATGTGAGACAGGTACAAACCTTGTATATGGTGGGAGGTTTAGAAGGTTCACACAAGTAGCTGATGTGGGTAATCGGTCCAAAGTGCCAGCAGCCCTGGAAAGGAGTCCACAACACAATTTTCAATTCCTTGGAAAAGGAAAGCGGCAGAAGAAGGGCCAAGATTAGTATTGTTTGCTTTCTACATTACATTTTGCAAACCATTACCTTTGTATGCAAAATAAAGGTTCAAGATATTTGAATCCAAGAGAAGGGCCTCGACAGCATCCAGTCACAAACCTAGGGGGGAAAAAACACTCTTCCAGTTATAATCCTTTCTGATAATTTCTTATTTTTGAAGCTGACTAAGGAAGCACCAGTCAAAGAATTGGGCAACCAATATTTTTATGGAACATGTGAAAACAAAAACAAGGGATTATTAAAACAACGCACTTCAAAAATTTCTTCTTATTTTCCAGCGAAAAGCTTTTAAGGACTTCCCAAAACATCTTAATGATGCAGTCTCCCTGAATAAAAATAAAAAAAATGGTATTAGAATCAGTTTACACAGCATACTGAAATAATTGGCCATTATTAACTGTGATAGGCATATGAAATTTGTAAAATAAAATTTTGCTCCATAACCTGAATACAAATGAAAAACCCTAGCATATACATGATAATCCCTTCCATCCAGAACCTGAACCCAATAGCGCATGGAAAAAGAGGTAGGTTTGGGAAACATCTTACACTATTATAGCCACCAGTATAATTGGTGTGGAGTTGAAGGTCGTCAACATCCCAGCTTTGAGGTGAACCTGAGATCAGAAGCTGCGAAGAAAACAGATTTGTCAAATATACTGTTGAAGCCCAAAATGACAATGAATGACAGCTGAACGTTTTTGGCATAAAACTTTAGTTAACAATATATAGTCATTCAAAAACCTCTTTCAGCATAAATGATCCACTCATGCCAACTCATTCTCATAGTCAAACTACTGATAATAATATAAAAAGATTTTAAGCTTTGACCAATAAGTTAAGCAAGGTAACCATTGGCTGCAAAGAAAGCATGCCTAACGAGGAGAAAAAAAAAAAGGCATAAACTCCAAAGATTAACAATAGATGATCATACCTGCAATTCATGCTCATTAAACATATTGAACCAATGTTTCTGCATAAGCTGCAGAAATCCCCCAAGGAAATGAGAACTCTGTTGTTGTATCTGAAATTGATATCATTCATTATGTCAATGAACATATAGGGAGAAGCAGCTGGTAGCATTACTTGAATGAACCAACTACCAAAATTTAAAGATTAGACTACCTGAAAATTCAGACGGTAGTTACAATAAAGATAAATATATTCAAAAACATTATCTTTGGTAACACCTAAGTTTTCCCCTCCTGGAACTAGTTTCTCTTCCCTTTGCTCTTCATACTCATTATTTACAATTATAAAGTAGAGCCCCAACTCGGAAAAGTCCCCTTCATAATTCTGTAAATCAAAGCAGAGTTGAAAAATGAAAAATTAGTCCCCAAAATGGAGTACCATGGAATTAAGGATGCAAAAGCATTATGTATAAATCAAGAGCAAAAGGGCAAAAGGAGTGATAAAAATTACCTTCAAAAAGATCAAATGGCGATATAACTCTGGGTCAAAGGAAGACAAGTCCATCAAATAGTTGTACCTAATCAATGAAAGGAGCAAAATGCGTATGTTAATGTTAATTGCACCATAAATGGTATGGGTAAATAGAGGAGAGAGTACCTTGAAAGCAGTCTTTATCTGATCTAAGATTTTCTGTTTCAAGCCTGTGCAAAATTTACAATATGTTCTTTATGGTGGCCATCATTGATCATTTACGATGTGTTTAAGGAGTCTTTGTTGCAACTAGTAGAAAGGTTGATACAAACTGTCAGGCTACTAACTTTTACATTCCTATATCTATTCCAGAATATAAATTTTGTTCACATTTCATCTGTATCAAAAAGTTAGAAGGGAAAACAATAGTCATAGAGAATAAAGCCATCCTTACTTTTGTTTCAATTTGCTAAGGAAGAAATTAGCAAATGGTAAATCTACAAGAATCCCTTCATACATGGCCTGCAGAGAAGACATGAACCACATCAGGAAGCCACAAAATAAATAAAATTGAGGTAACACTAGACTTAAAGCCACAAAATAAATAGATTAAGTAGCAACATGAACTGTAAATTAATGATGCTCTTAGCAGCTCACCAAAACAATGAGCATACAAGTAGAAGAAGGATTGCATCAAATCTGAGAAGTAATGATTAGCTAAACAGTTTCAAAAAATTCAATAATAATGCAACTCAAATTAGCATATGCTGCTCCTATCCACAGCATTAGTAACTTTTTGAAAGATGTATGTTAGAAAATATCCATAACCATAGATAACTGAGCACAAAATCCAAAAAAAAAACATGCAATTTATCTTTTATGTTAGCAAGGCTATAAATTTTGGGCAAAATCCACATGCAACAAAGTAGGTAAAAGCGTAAATTGTGACATATTTCCTGGAAAATTCTAAGGGAAAAAATTAAGTATTTCCTCTGTTATGTATGATCTTTCATTATGAACCCAAAACATGGACTTATCTTCTCTGGCATCTCATAAGAATTTACATAATTTGTTAACTGTAACACTGTTATTTTATATGTTTTTCCTGAGGATATCAAGTACAATAAATAGAAGTTTCAATGGGTGACCAGCCAGATAAACTTGTAGGAAAGTCGTTGCAACAACCAAGACACCATACCTTTGCTAGAAAAGTTCCTAGGATATGGAACAATTGGAGGTGTTGTTCATCAATCATTCCGGATCCAGGATTCGGATAGAGAAGGTGACCAGATGTCTCCTGGATAAACATGCAAAATGGAATTTCAATCTGACATAGATGAAGACAAAGGTGCAAGTAAACAGGAATGGTGAACATACCAAACAAATAAACATATGCAGATCATAATTAGCAAGAATAAGTGTTAAAATTTTATTGAAGGTAAAGAATGGGAACATGAGTGTTCATTATGCACACCCACAGGCAAGTTACTAGAGACAACCTCCAGCACTAGCTAACAAGTTCTATCCTCTAGTTTAAACCTTCAGAGGGCACCTAACTTGTATTAGTGTGTATAATATAAGCTGAACTTCAGTAAGAAGCATATAAGGGAAGAATGGGTGAGAGAGGCCTAAAAGCCAAGCAGGTAAAATTCTTTTAACTTTTTTGTAAAATTACATTTAAGAAAATCAACAAAAAAAAGTAGTTGTGTTAATCTCTTTTTCCAATCTGTTGTAAGTTGGAACAAAGAATAGAGATTCTAACCTCCCAGTCACTGCAAGAGTCTACACAATGTCCAAAAAAAATTATGTTCCTCTAACCCATGAGACATCACGGAATCATGCATCAATTTTTGGAAGACACGTGCATAAACCACATAAGAAAAAAGGCTACAGACAAGAAGACATATTGATAACCTTAAACAACCCATACTGCAAATCAAATGCAGCCGGAGTGATGTCGTCCATAAAATCTCTGAAAATTCCACCCCCATCAAGACCAGCTTCTGGAGCTCCCAATTCATTGACAAAAGTTACACGTATCTGTAAGGAAACAATAAAAAAAATTATTATCTCGGTACTTGACAAAAGAAAGCTGCTTTAATCAGGATACAGAATCAAAAAGGCAGAGTAGATTTTCAAATTGCTATTAAAGAAAAAAAGTCATGATTTCAAATGTTTCAAATATGTTAAAGTTTGTAAGATCACTTTTGTATGTTGAAGTCAAAAGCTATGTCACAAGAAGAAAAGGGGCTGCCATTTTGTAATCCATCCTTTAAGGGATCATATTTCCTACTTTACTGTACTAGAGTAGGTGCGATAGTTGTAGCTCCAACTTTTGTACTTTTGACAGATTAAAATCTCCTTGTAATCAAGTTGATAAATATATTGAATGAAAGAGGAGAGAGTGAGCAATCATGGTGGGCTCAGACCATTTTCATCAAATTCTCTTCTATTTTCGTTTCCATTTTACACAGTTCATCATTTATATTCTGTTTTAATCTTTCATTTTACAATAAAATAAAAGAAAGATAAAAGCATGTTACCAATCCTCGTAGATCCTCTTCAGGCAATGCCCTCATCTGACTACAAGCATCTTCCCAAAAATGATCCCGGCGAATTCTAAATTGCTTTCTAGCCAAAAGTCCATGTGGCCGATGCTGTTTTTTAACTGCTGCTAGTTGTGCCTGGTAGATTGATTTCATATAAACCAGTTTACAAGTAATTGGGAAAAAAATCAGTAAAGAATGCAACCACATATGATTAATTTTCTGCAAATAATTATCCCTCAATTTCACATGAGAGAGACAAAGACACCATGACAGTCATTTCATCCAGAGTTGATGATTACATTTCTTTTACAACCAATTCATTCCAACAAATCAATGAAAATTTAAAGTTAATTACTTACATTAAATATTTTGACTCTGCCAGCAAACGGAATTAAAACAGGAGCTTGATTCACTATGTCATATTCTTTTGTACCTACTATTGCTGCCTGGAAAAGGATACTGATATCAAGACAGGTAGCTACACACACACACACATAATTCCAGGAATCCCAATATGCAAATGAGAAGCTATTACCTGAGAAATAAAGCAATTATCAACCACAAGCTCATCAACATGGAAATCACTAGGGGAAGTAAACTCACTTCTGTTGTTCCAATCTTGTAACTTTAAGAGAAATTTAGATTACAAAAATCAGAAGGGAAATAAAGACCATAGATTTTACCTCACAATCATTGTTTCCATTAGATGCATCACAGATGCCATATCGAACACTGGCAAACAAAATTGACACAATATGTACATACAAAATGGCATAATCCAACAATTTAGATTGGTATTATACCTGTGTGAGGACCTCAGAGACTACAGTGACAATTCTGCTTTGAATAATTTCAACAGGTTGACTCGTAAGTAAAGAAGAATGGGAGGCAGATTT